ATTTTGTATTTATTATGAAATAAAATAAAATATAAAGCAAGCAAGGATGTGCCATGTTCGGTTATAACCGAACATTTCATACTCTTGCAAATTCCACGAATTTAAGACAGAAAAATACCTTAAGTTATAAAACGTGAACCAGAGGATCGAAATCTAAGCAATTTTATATAAACATATGCTAAATATAACTGATACAGTGGCATACCTAACGTTTCTTAGAAAAGCTAAAATCATTATATGTAGTATATGGAATTAGGGGTAGTATCGGCCCGCTTTTTCTATTAACTATTACCATGCCATATGCCCTGGGTTTCATTAAAGTAGCTCAAATGCAATCACAAATCATAGAGTAAAGCCAGCCGGATGTTCGAAAATTCTGATTTTGGTTAAATGGGGTCTTGGTTAAGTTTTCGCCCGATTTTATTCATGTTAAGCACGAAGATACACTGTTATGAGCGAAACACGCCCTCTCATTTTCATTTATATAACTCAAATATCCGATGTATGCAGTATAAAGTATACCGGAAGTTCGGAAATTTCTATATTAGGTATATGAGCATGCAAGAAGTACTGATCCGATTCAAACCATTATTGATACACAGAGATACTATTATCAGAACAGCATTTGATGTAAATTTCATTTGCATCTTATATCCCATACATTGACCGTTATTTTCGATCTAAAGTGAACTTAAAGACTGTTGCCACATGTTCGGTACCTTAGGGTTGGAACAGTATTGTTTGAATTTTACAATTCTTGGTCATAAGGTGGTATAGTTTAAAGGAATTATCAATCCAAAATTGTATTCTGTTACATTATTTGCTTCTTGATTTGTGTACTAAAAAGTGAAAGAATTGAATGGAATTTTAAATTATGTTATATGGAAAGTAGGCGTAGATGTAGTCCGATATCGCCCATTTTCCCATTGTGACAAAGAAATATGAGAAAAATGTCATACAGTAAGTTTAGTCGAAATCGCTCTGTCGGGTTGCGAGATATGGGATTTCACCATAAAGTAGGCGGTGCCACGCCTATCGTCCGATTTTCACACCAACAGACTTAAAGCTCTCTCATATCATCTCGGGGGTAAAATTTAATGTCTCTGGCGTATTTAGTCATTTATTCATCGACCTTTAAGTAGTTTTTAACAGTACTGTTATATGGGGGATGAACGGGATTACTTTCCACAGTGTCGATAAGACTGCTAAAGGCATTTGTCGTAAGCGAAATCGATTTTCGAGCTTAAGTGTTCAGAAGATAGTTTTATTAATGTAATTAGAGGGCAGACCAAGCTAATTTAATACAAAATTTTAACCTACAAGTGCTACTTGCTCCTGCGCCTAATTGCAGTTTTTGATCCTGTTTTAGTGCTTAATTATGTGACTTTATAGGTTTTCGAAGAATGGCGTTTTAGACGTGGCCCGATTTTATGCTTTTTGAGGCTACAGTACATTATTATTATCAGAAATAGATTTTCTGCGAATTTTGATTATATACCACAAAGATTATCCGATATTTTCGCTCTAACGTCTTGTACAGGCATTGTGGTCCACATTTTTAATATGTGTAGACTTTTGGTTCGAATTAAGCAATTTTAGATATGGTGAAAATATACCTCAAGGCCGTTATTTCTACAAATTTTCATTGCGATAACTTTATTCCTGCTTTAGTTATATACTGAGTACTCTGTAAGTCATATAGAATTTAAAACAGTGATACATGAAAAGTAGGCGTGTTTTTTTTTCGATTTCCCACATTTTCGCTCTCTGAAATTAAGATATTGAAATAATGTCACACACTAAAAGTGATTGAGATTGGCTGGATCGTTACTGAGATATAAGATTTCTCATAAAAATGGGCGGTACCATGCCTCTTAACAAAGCTTTACACCGATTCCTTATCATAAGCACTCTTTAAAGATTTTCAAACAATTTTGCTGAATAAAAATGCTCTTCTTTGTTGCAACATGTTACAAAGTTATAAAAAGGAATTTTTTTTTTTTTGTTTTGTTTTGTTAAAAACTCTACTGCAAATTCATATAACGATTTCATTTTATATAAATATTTTCCAATATTTTTTTTCCAATCGCACATACAATGCGCATATTACTCTTCACTCGCAGTATTTTCTATTTTGCTCTTACTGTTATTATCTCCGTTTTTTCGCAATAACATTTCAATGCATTTTCATTGCTAAAAGCAATTTGATGAATTGCCATTCTGAGTGCAACGCAAAAAGTGTACACAAATAAAAAATATGTTTTTTATATACACGATATAAAAACTAACAATTTAGTGAATTATAAAGTTCAAATCGCATAGTTGCACTTGAACAGCGCTTTTCATTCGAAGCCTTTCCATTTTTGTATTGCTTCATTGCAGCGGCTTACAATAAATGCTCTGCCATTGAATGACTATTCAACATTTTCAAGGCCTTGAATTATGTGGATTATTTGGAAAAAATTGTAATTGATAGCAAATTGAAGTTGGTGGATTAGGTAACTAAACAGTGTACAATATTAGAAATTGATGTGGCTTAATTTAAAAAAAAAAAAACAAAAACATACACACTTTTATATAAGCTTTAGAAAGCAACGTGAGCGTATTTTCGTTTGATTGATTTTGAAAATAATATATGCTCACATTTTATCAGTGAGTAAGTGAGTAAGTGGAAAACGTTTATATAAAGAGTGATCCGTTTCAAGGTTTCCTACTTTTTTAAAGAAAAAACACCAAACCGAATGTCGCCTAAGTCTCGAGCTTCAATTACAGGCATCAAACAGTCTCACCGGTATCACTTTTATATAATACACCGGCCCACAAACCACATCAAACCCTAGGTTTTTTTTTTTACTAATTAAATGGCAGCTCTTGAATCTCTAAGACTACAGTTCGTCACAAAAGCGGCAATTTTGCTTGTTTACATAGCTCTTGAGCCAGCAATGGACCCCATCCGTGTTCTTGATTGGAAAAAGTTATTCAAAGACGTTCGAGAACGCGTTGACGACGAACCAAGTTCAGAACGGTCATCAACTGATTATCAAAATAAGGGAATAGGTGTTTGAGAACCGACGATTGACAGTCAGAGATTTTAGTGACATCGTTGGAATATCGGAAGGATAAATAACAACCATTCTGAAAGATCATTTGGGTCTAAGAAAAGTAAAAGCACAATTGGTTCATTCAATCATTAAAATAATCAAAAGAAATAGCTGGAAAACTCATTGTTTTAATGTCATGAGTCAGCCCTGCCCATAGTCTTACCATTGGAGTCAACTGTCGGTAATAGTGAATGCGCCTTTTTGGTGGTTTGTAAGTTTTCATCGGGAAAGTAGTACTTGCAACTGGAGTTAAATGGGAAGTTTTTGAAATAGATGAACCCATTTCTAATGTTGTAGTTCATAAGGAGAGTTCGCAAAATGACTGTTCCAAATGACATACTACTAAGGGTCAACGCTCTCATAGTTTCGTTTTTCGTGCAATTCATTTAAAACTTGATAAGAGGATATGCTTTCTCAGCTGATATTAGACCAGATAATATAGCCTAAGGCTGTTACACTGTCGGCATCATCTTCGTGCTAAGATTCTTCTTCATTTATAAGAGTTGAGCTCATTAATTGATCGATTTCTTAATACTTCATTTAATGTAGACTGAGTTTTATTATCTTATCTTCCCCAGAGAGCTCTTGCGGCTACTTGACGCCATATTTACTCATATTCCCAGTATATCTTCTTCTATTTCTAAAGCTTATAGATAGGCAAAGGACCATTTATCTTCCGTAAAATCTTTCTCTCAAAAACTCCTAAGGACAGCTCATCAAATAATGTCATTGTCCATGCCTCCGCACCACGTAGTACAATAGGAACAATGAGAGGCTCATAGAGTTTGGTTTTTGTTCGTGAAGAGAGTTCTTTACTTCTCAATTGCCTACGCAGTCCGAGCACAGTAGCACATGTTGGCAAGAGTTATTCTGCGTCGGATTTCCAGGCTGATATTATTTGTGGTGTTTATACTGGTTCCAAGGAAGACGAAATGATCTACGACTTCAAAGTTGTAACTGTCAATATTGAGCTGCGAGCCAAGTCGCGAATGCGATGACAGTTCGTTTGAGGATAGGAGATATTTCGGCTAGTCCTCGGTCACAACCAGATCCACATGCTTCTCTTTCTTACGAATTCTGGAGAAAGCAGACCTAACGACGTGGATGTTGTACAATAAAAATAGAATATTGTATCTTATAGTTTCAGATCTGCAGCTCGAACTATTTTCTAAAGAAGTAGATTGGAGAAATCGCACGATAGGTATTCGCATTGTCTGCTCCTTTTCATGCTGTATAAGGTGCCCTTAAAATCGACGAAGAGATGGTGTATGTCGATCTTACCTTTATAGGTCTGTCATAGGGTTTGTTGAAGATGGGCTTTAGTCTTTCAGTCACTATGCTCGACAAGGACTTATATTAAGTTATGACTGTCAACCGTGCTATAATCGGAGTAGATTATGCGGTCGCCCTTTTTGTGGATCCATTACAGTACATATAGGTTTCAATATTCGGGAATGCTTTCTTCCGAACTTACCTTGCAAAGAAGCTGATGCGTTAGTTCTTGTTTGCACCACCTTTTATAATTCCAATTTGACCCACAGTTTATTTTTTCTAAGCCAATATTTTTATAATATCACATTAGCCAGTTTTATAGTCAGCTAAAATCCTTATCACAGCACCATTGTATGCTCAGCTTGTAAAATTATAGTAAATTCTAATTATAAAGCCTACTTTCAGGCGGTATAACGTTTTATTTACTGTTCAGTCTTTCAATGACACGAAAAAGTGAAGCAACCAATAAAAGAGCTCAAAAGTAAACTGCAAACAATGCTATCAAAGAGCATATGTAAATATTGCTGTAAGAATAAGACTAAAATAGAAAGAGAAAACCAACACACATATACTTATTTCCTTCTACTGTGTGGTTTTTTAACTCTGTGTACCATTGCATACTTCCAGGCACCTGCAAACAGCCGCTCGGCATGGAATCCGGTGCCATCGCTGATACACAAATTACCGCTAGCTCGGCGCACGACATGGGCAATGTGGGCCCACAACATGCCAGGTGAGTAACAAAGGACATGAAAAGTCAATTCTTACTTCAAATTGTTTGGCGCACACAAACACATCTACATATTATACATATGTGTGTATTGACAAAAACAAAAAATAATAAAAGAAAGTAAGCAAAACCGCTGAGCCATTGTGACAGCACAAACAAGGTGAAATGAGAAAAACGCGAGCATGCACACATACATAAGAACATATACACACATAATTACATATAAACACACATTAAAGGTAATTTGAAATGCGCGTCCTTACGCGCTTCCTTTTTCGCAACAGGAAGCATCATCATAGGCGCAGGAAGGCAAACAAATATTCACCTGCGCATTCCGCTGCCACTTTGTTGTTGCAACTTGTTTGTTTATTCTCTTGTGCCTTTGACAAATTCCTTGCCTGCATGCGAATATTTATGTGACAGCGTGTGTTTTTTCTTTTGCTAGCTGTGCACACATGCAACAACAACAAGTGGAACCACAGTAGACAAAGCAGCAATTACAACAACATAAAAGGCATATAAACACATTAAATGATATGAGACAGTTGAAATTAATATGAATTATTTTATGGCATGTTCAAATGCTTTTTCATGTATGTGTGTCATTTGCCGGCGTTCCCCACCGTACCGTACATCGCGTGTGGTGCTCAACCGAAATGTAAAATAAAACAATAAATAACAAGTAAAGAGGGGCTAAGTTCGGCTGTCACCGAATATTTTATACTCTCGCATGATAAAGTGATAATCGAGATTTTAGGCGTGGTTGTGAACCGATTTCACCCATATTTAGTACATGTCATCAGGGTGTTAAGAAAATATTATATACTGAATTTCATTGAAATCGGTCGACTACTTCCTGAGACATGGTTTTTGGTCCATAAGTGGGCGACGCCACGGGCGTTTTCAATTAAAAAAAAAAAACCTGGATGTAGCTTCCTTCTGACATTTCTTCCGTAAAATTTAGTGTTTCTGACGTTTTATGTTAGTCGGTTAACGCACTTTTAGTGATTTTCAACATAAYCTTTGTATGGGAGGTGGGCGTGGTTATT